TAAGCACTGGAAACTGCTGAAATCATAATCAGGGGGCTAGATAACTTTGTTAAGAGGCTTGGTAGTGTTGCAAGAGTCCAGGAGTTCAGTAATTTTTTCTGAGCCCAGCCCTGAGGGGGGTCAGTGCTCAAGCCCCCTTAGCCCCCCCCCCTAAATACGCCTCTGCCTGGGGCATTCTCAGAGTGATGAACCTCCTATTAAATCCCTCATATTCCCCATAATGAGGCTTAAATTGACAGACATATTACTTACAGTTCTGAAATGAGTAATTGTGGTGGAACAAATGATAACCCAGGAAAGACTAAAAAGCCCATTTCCTCACACAAGAATAATTAGAAGATACATTCTATATATATGTATATATAGGTGATTACAATAGTCACAATATAAAAAGGCATAATTTATAGCAGTCTGTGAAAAAATTACCTATTGCAAGGTTCTATTAGTCTAATCAGTGATCCAACTCATGCAAACAACTAGCAAAAAGGCCTGGAACCACAAAGACAGCACTAGAAATATGAAAAACACTAACCCTTCAGGATGCTTCCTCTGTCCTCTCTTTCTCTCTGTACTGTACTTATTTTTATTGTTCTACGCATTCTGTAAAATTACAATTAAATTAAATTAAATCCCTCTCCTCCCCTTCTAGTGCATTTGACATTTTAAACTATGTATCTTTTAACTCCTCATCTGTCACTAGATCTTCTCCTCATAGCCTATTACACACATATACTCGTACTACTCCATCACGTCACTTCTACTTCTCCCGTCTCCCTCGTCTGTGGAATGCCCTACTCCCTCTAAACCTCCTCTCTCTCACTCACTCTAAAGCAATTGATTCACTTTACCATCACTTCACAAGCATCTTTTTAACTAAATTCAACTCATCTGATTTATGCACTTATCATTTCTTATGCCCTTGCTATAATTGTATCAGCTCCCATCATACATGTACATAACTCCATTCATTCATACACTAAGTTATTTATTTTTTTCTTTTTTTTTCTGGTTCCTGGTGAGTTTACCAGGTTACCATCAGCACTCTAACTCCCTGTGTTTTCATTCTACTATTGTGCTGTAGAGTTTATTAATAATAATAATAATAATAAAAACGGACGCCATCTTGAAAAATCAACCTCAATCCTACATATAGGCTACCGCCTATATAATAACTTTTGGAAGGATTTTTTTACATGCAGTGGACAGATTTATGAACTTAAAACTCACGGTACAATCCCTGGGACTCCATTACAGGTACTCAAACCTTTCTTTGCTCTTCTTTGTGAAAAGCTCAACACAATTAGTACAACCACCTGTACACACAAGCAAAACGAACTTTATAAGCATGGATCTAGATAAATTTTTGTCCCATCATAGTAACATTTCATGAGACTGATACGTGCTCATCTATTGTGTACTTACAGCAATTCCAAAAAGTATAAAACTCCCGAAAAGTTGAAAGCTGTATAAAAGAAAAAATAGTAAAACACGAAAACGTCTGACTTACTTCACCAAAGCGGCACTCATTTTGGACACAGCAAGACTGGGTTGGCAATAGTGGTTTCAACAATGTGGCTGAAGCTACCACTGGAGCCGAATAATTAAGGCCTTTCTACACTTGTCCACTTTGGATCCAGAATTAAGACAAAATCCAGGATTAAAGCAGGATTAGCTTGTTCACACTTGTCTTGAATTGGGATTGAATCTAGATCCAGTGAATCCACATCCAGAGGTGGTTTGAGGTGGATTGCTTAATTAAATATTCATAACCTGTAGAAGCCAATGCAGTTTAATTCACTTTTAATTCTTCAATATAGCTTAGTGTGAACACAACCAAAGAGGATTCTATCTTAGTAGGTTGCAATTCTGGATCCAAAGTGGACAAGTGTAGAAAGGCCTTAATAACTGCGTGTTGACCAAATTGACCTCTTTAACTGAGGGGGTGTCTAATTAATTTTATTATAGTATTAATATAACAATAACCATGACTGTTCTATTACATGAAATTAATCATGCATACACATACACACAGTACAAACTCAAATGAGACGAAGTGCATATAAGATTGCTGTCGAGTTGATAAGATCATTAAATCTATTGTTATCTTATAATAAGTTTGCT